TCATTTGGGTTTCAGTAATTCCTCTTGGTTACATTGCCCTTGATCAATCCCTACCAGGCCTCTTACACCTTCCTTGCCACTGATTTTGGATCACTTCTTGTTCCCTTGTCCCTGGGTTGGTTAACACCATTTCCTTTCCCCCACCTCCCCATCTCCCATGTCCCTCCAGAATCATCAGTCCCACTGTTTTCTCCTCCAGATTGTTTATCCAGTCTCTCTTATCTAGATAGACCTGCAGTTTTTTACTTTTTTAATAATGCATTTTTTTCTGGTTTGAAAATATACAAGCAGCCTTCAAAGAGTGGGTGGGAAATGACTTCTTGTATGACCTTTCGGATGCCCTACACAGTACGTTTTCCCTGGACCATGAGGTGGCCTTGATAATTCTTTTGAGCGGGGCCACCATGGCCATCCTCCTTCTCCAAGTTGTTTCTTCTCCTTGACACAAGCTCACTGCCCCAGCCTCCCATTAACCTCTATAGTGGCTATTTGATGCCACGTAGAGAACCCAGAAGACTGGCAGTTCAAACCCACCAGTTACTCCTCGGGAGACAAAGGAGGCTAACTCCTGTGACCATTCCGTCTCAGCACCCTGAGGTGCAGCTCTGCTCAGCTCCGTCCTAGCACTAGGAGTGGGTATGAACTCCACTGCAGCCCGTGGAGCCAGATCTTAAAGGAGCACAGTGCTCAGGGCAGACCTTATTACCCAGTCAAGCTATTGTTTGTTTAAAAAGGTTTCAGGGACCGGTTTTCATGTCAGGTTCTCTCAGGACAGTCTTTCTGGAGGGTTATTCAGCTGCCATGGCTCTAGAATGTCTGGATCCCATGAGGATCTGAAATTCCATTCTGCCTTCTCTTTTTCAGAAGAGTGGGAGGAAACCTGAGAAAGGTACCCAGTGAGGATCACGTTACTCTTCTTCATCAGGAAGGGTGCTTGGGAGCAGGTAAGGAGCTCCCTGGAGGAAGCAACTGCTTCCCCCGGGCAGGCCCTGGCTAGCAGCATCCTGCAGAGCTCACAGAGCAGGTCCAGCCCGGAATTGGAGAGGCTGGCATGTGAGAAAGAGGAAAGAGGCAAAATGGAGTATAGTGGTGGTGGTGGTGAGGGGTTTTCTGGAAGTTTTGCTGAGAAGGCAAAGGGGAAGCAGAGGGAGTCAATGAGCCTCGGACAGGGGCCCACACCCTGGCCCCTTGCATGCCCTCTCCTAGTCCCCAGAGCTGGGGTCTGGCCGGGTGGAGAGCCCCAGTGGTGCCCAGAAAAGAACTGTAGTCCCCATGCGGGAGTGGTTTAGTAAAATGAAATGAATAGACGAGTGCTAACCTCCCTGGGTGACTTTTAGGATGCCCCTTCCTGTGCGTCAGGCCAGTCTGAAGGCGTCTAGTGTACAGCTCAGGAACCCCCTACACTCCCAAATTTCCCTGTGCTTGTCACTCTCTGTAGGAGACCACTGGGGAAGGCTGCTCCTGCCACCACCACCACCGGCTTCTTTCTTGGAGCCAGGCAGGACTGGGTTTCCTCCACTGGAACGCCTGAAGCATGCTCAGACCAAGGAAGGGGAGCTGAGCTCAGTGAGAGCACCTCTGTGGGGAGGGGGCTGGCTCTGAGTCTCCCCCATATTGTCTCTTGGCTCCCAGTCACCTATCCCCCGGCCTCTAGGTGACAGACGACACTGTACAAACCACAGCAGATTTATTACTCAATATCCAGTGCCACACCATAGCACCACCCGGAGCCCTCGCCGCCCCCCACCTGGCCCCAAGGGTACACGCCAAACAGAAAACAAAACAAAAATAAAAGCAAACCCAGATGCCTGCTCCTCCTCTGGCAGCAGGGGCCTTGGCCCCGGGAGGCCCTGGCACAGACCCCAGCAGGCAGGGGTGGACCCCTTCGAGCCCAGAGAGCAAGGCCCCAGGCCCCAACAACAGAGAGAGCATGCAGGAGGGAGCGGAGCAGAGGCCCAAGGCGGTGGGGGGACGAGGGGAGGGAAAGGGCACTGCCTGAGGAGTCCGGGAGTCAGTCACCC